ATAGAGTACAATATTTTCTGGCGATCAGTATATACGACAGAGNTATTTATATATGTTTCCTTCGAAAAATCCTTGCGAAAACAACTACGTTTCTTTTTGCTTCGGCGAGCGATCTTCTGTGCCAGTATGAAAACCGAGGATTCGAGAGGATTGGTAGGACACACTTCGTTTGATGAGTTCAAATTGAATTATTTTTGTACCAATAAATAATTTATTGTAGATACGTTTCGATTATAAGTCATCTATATTGGCTGGTGGATTTTATATGAAAAAAATATACCTCACTTGTTGGATTGGGAATTTTACCTATCGATAAAGTGATTTGATTGTGTTTTCTTCGAGCCTCTGCAACATTCTCTAAATAGTGTTAGGGTTGAAGAAAAAGGGAAGAATATACCAGGACAGAACTAGTTTATCCATCTATCAAATAACAGAGGAGATTGCTCGAAATTGTCAGGTGCATCCTTTTTTTATTTTGCTAACATAAATATACTATTTTCATAAGTTTTTTTGGGCAGCCATATGTGCTATAATTTCCATCTTTGAATTGATTTTTCTTGTTTTTATGTGATTTAAAAAAAAAGGAATACTTCAGTCAATTAATTGTAAAAGCAATAAAATTGCAATCCTTTTATTTCAATACAAATATTAGAATTTGAACATTTCAATTCACCTCTATGAGATACTTTTATCAGGGTAGTTTTTGTAGTATCTAACTCATTGAATAATCTTCAAAGGAAAAAATTATGTGACGCCCATTTTATTGCTCTAACACCTACTAACACATCCAAGCAGAAGATAACAGAAAAAACATTTCTTTCTCGCTGATTTCTAGCCGTTGTATTGTGCTTATTTTCTTTCTGGATTCCGGCACTTTCGTCTCGGTAAAAAAACGTAACGAAATAAATTTTGGCGTCCAACTTGGGGAGCCGTTTGTGTTTGAAATTGAAACTTTCAAATGTTCATGTGAAAGTATTTGTTTAGAAAGTATTTTTCTTTCGTGTAATTCTATGTTTATCTGAAAATAACTGTTTCGAGAGGACTTGTTTTCCAGTGTGTGTCTGAAAGTTACTTCTTTGAATGATCTACACATCTATGTATGGAATTACTTCTTTTGTAATTGATTACTTCCTTCCTTTCTCTGGAAGATTCCCACATTTTTTTGTATAGAGATAGAGAAGTAGAAAACCAAAAGCTTTCTTTCCCAAAAATCAATACCCCTTTCAATTTGATATCTTTAACTTTTGCTTGGATATCTTATCATATCCCTACTAATATTATAAATGCGAATGTAAGTTTGTTTGTTACGGTTTCACGCGAAAACTACTCAACAGATCATCATGAAATTTTGTACATATGTTCTTGGAGGTACTTGAAGTAACATAGGATCCTTATTATTGAAAAAAATATTTTTTATGTTGTCATTCAAGGTCGTGTGACGTCTCAAGGTCAAAAGGGGTGGGGGGAGGCGTTCAGTCGGCATTAGCACCCTACTCCCAGCTAAGCAATAAAATATGGTTCTCATATTGATTTCTTTTCTATTGTACTGACACTTAATTAATGGCATAAATGCGAGCGAAGCCGCGAGTGAAAGCTAGTAGGTATTTTATAAATATGCGTATGAGGTTCATTTGTGTATCATTGTGGATTTTTTATGTTTTTTTTTCTGTGCTCCATTTTTTTTGTGTTTCTATTGTGCTTATTTTTTTATGATTTGGGAATAAAGCATAAAATGATTGAATAGAACTCGTTAATACAGTTTATTTTATGATTTTCAGTATAAACGGTGTTACAAAAATTGCGACACACTCCCGGATAATGCCAAATTGATTTCATTCGATGTAAAAATCTGTTTCCCAGTATCCCAGAATCTATTGGACTAAAGGTATATCAATCCTGTAGTGAAACAGAACATATTGGATTGCTTACGGTATGTTTGTTACAGAATTACTTCTAATTCAACGAAAATCTTTACTCATCCTTCAAAGGTCTCATAATGGAAAACCCACTCAGTCCCATTCTGGCAGAAATTTCCATGAACGATTTGGAGCGAAAAATAAACAGTAACCCACTGGTGAGAAGTTTCGTGTACACATTCACCATGGAGATGGAAAAGGATGACTCTATAAATTTTTCGGACTTGGCAATAACGAAAGTTGACAATAAACATGATTTTTCAATTTATCGTAAACCAGCACATACAGATATTATCATTCATAATTCGTCCACCCACCCACATCAGCACAAAGTAGCAGCATTCAACAGTATGAACCACATACTGATAAATGTTCCCTTGTCAAATGCGAATTTCAATAAAAAATTGAGCATAGTAAAACCAATAGCCGTCAACAATGATAACGATAGCAGTTTAATACATTCTCCATTATCAAAAAAGTTATACAGCCAAGCTTTGAAGGAAGTTTACCAATTCAAAGAAATGAGGATGCAAGTTATAGAATATTAACCTACTTAGGCCAATCCACTACGAATATTTCCAATTTTCTGCACAACAAAGGTGTTAATATTACTTTCGAAACCAACAGCAACTTAAGCATTCACATTAAAAATAACAAAGATAAAAGTTCAGTTCCAGAAAAATCGGGAGTGTATAAATTATCATGTGGTTCATGTCTGATGTTTCATATAGGAAACACAGAAATAGTTTCCAGAATGGAAAAATAAATTTCACACATGCCACTCTTTTAATCACAGAGGGACATAAGTTCAATCATGGAATCAAGCCTCTCCATTTCCAGTAGAAAGGTTTAAAAGTTAACCTATTGGAGAGTATGGAAATAAACATATTTAAAAACTACCAATATCTTATAAACGATAAAACTAAATAATTCACCATTATTGAATCTGTTTATTCACAGGTAAGAAAAGTTAAGTATAATTAAGCTATTTTAGGAAATTTAATGTTTTCAAATAGTTATTGAAAGTATACCTGACCTTTTCAAGTAGATTCATTCATTAGAAAGTAGGCAAGCAAGCAGGTATTATGTTAGAGTATAAAATAGTTGTCATTTAGAAGTAACTTAATATTATTAAGTTACGTTTGAGAAAGATTATTGTATATGAAAACACGTGTCGCGGTTTTTGTAAAACTCTTTTTAGTGAAAATCATACAATAAACTGTTTCAAGCATATAATGATTGGGTTAAATGTAAATCCATCAGTTCAAGACGAGTTACAGTATAATTATTCATGAGGGTTTTGAAAATATTGGAAATATTGAAGCTATGCGAAAATTTTCGAGAGGAGTTTTGAATTCAAAAAAGGAAGGCAGAATTTTTCACGGTTCCTTGAATAAAAATCTTCACGTGAAAAATTAAAGCTTTATTCAAAGAGTTTTTTTCTAGCAAAAGCGAGAAAAATGAAACAAAATTATGTCGTGAGAAACAAACTGCTTTGAAACCTTTTTCTGGATTCGAAATTAGAATAAAATTGTCTGCCTAAGATATTCTCATTATTTTTTATCTCCTCTATGTAAGCAGTTCTAGTATACAGGGTGTATATGATAGAATCCTGAAGCTGGTGCTATTGTTTCAGGATTGGATAATCTCATATATATTATCATGTATATGGTTAGGAAAAGTTACCCCCAGTTTCTGTTCGATAGACTTCCGGTACACATTTCAGAAGAAGTAAGATTGAAGATTATTCGTGAAAATATACTTCATGTTCATCAACAGCAATTGATTTAAGTAGAAATCAACTCAGAATATGAATTGCATCAATTATGTTAACGAATTGAAGATATGAAAATTACAATTCAAGCTTACAGACCTCCCACTTCGCAAAATATTTCTTAGAGCAAGATTTAGCTTTTCCAATACCTTATGGTACTAATAGACATCGGAATAGATGTGAGAATTTTGAGATTCAGCCCGAATCATGTTATTTTTGTAGAAAAGATGGAAATACTCGCGTAGTTGTCCGAATAATAAGCATTGTTATACCTTCGGTAAAGCTGGGTTTACGAAGCGTGATTGTCAGGTTTGTAATCGTAGTTCAAACAGTAGTATTAGGGCTTCGGTAAACAAATCTGAGATAGGTTGTCAAACTACAGGGTGTTTATTACACATGCGGCAAAAATCAAGGGACTATTCTTGGACTATTCTAAGGAAATTTTGTTCTTTGATGGTTTTTGATAGGGCGCTTTGTTCCGAAGATATTCGCTCCGTATCTTCGAAACGAAGCGCCTTATCAAAAATCATCAATGGACAAAATATCCTTAGAATAGTCCAAGAAATAGTCCCTTTAGTTTTTGTCGCATGTTTAATAAACACCTCGTATATCCTCCTAGGTTAGAGAAGGTTAGGTCTTAAGTCAGTGGGTCTATTCGACCCTCCACCGCAACTCGCAAGGATTTATTGTGGCTCACACCTATTCACTCTCGATCAAATACACCCAGCTTCTTAACGAAGCCGATTAGTTTGTACGGTGAGTGGAATTTCAGGTCAGATGGTAAGAGTATGGCTCTGCCGAGCTTTAAAAACCTGATTCAGTCCCTAGCGGGGCAGGCACAAAGTATATGATTAGTGAGAAGGGTACTCTGAGAAACCTCAATCAATGAATATGCACTGAAATCTTCTAATTAGAAATATTGAGACTGTAATTGAATAAAGAAAAAACCTGTGAATGCTTCCTTTCTTCAATTTGTCTATTGATATTTTTTTCAAATAGTACTCAAAATTACTGCAATCTTTGATCAATAAATTTGTCAAACTTATACTCCAAGAAAAATACGGGTTCCAGAAGGAGAGGCGTTTTCTTGACTGAATGCAGTGAATAAGAATTCATGCTTTCCATGAATTACCTACTACTAAAAACAAAAATATATGCACATACATGAATGTTGCCATTGAAAATGAAGAATGAAACTGCTTAGGATTAACCCTCAGTATCAGTTATTTTATTCTTTATATATATATATTACAGACAATAACAATAACATAACAATAATTCACTGAATAAATAAAATACAATCCATTAAATGAAAAAAAACGTACACTTAGTAATTAAATAAAATCAATTTCATATTGAATGAAAACACAAGTAAAATGTAAAAATCATGTTACAATGTCAGTAGTCAATCAATATACCATATCACTCATTTGTTCAGCCTTTGCTGTCTAATGACTCAATCAGCTTCGCTAAAGTTTCTCCTACAAAACAAACACTTTCTAGTTTTTATCAAGAATATAAGGATTAAAAAAATCAAAGGAAGGCAGGAACCAGCAGAGAAGAAGTTCAAATAACATTTATAATTGATTGAACGCTGATGAAATATCGAATTTATATAACCTCATTTGCTTTGGTATCTTGGCTTTCCTTTTCATAAGAATACTGTATTTCTGTGGATTACGTGTTGTTGAACACACACACAAATCAAGAGTCAGTTCCTAACCACCAATTGATTTTTCAAAGCAAAATTTTTCTTCTCTATTTAATTGTCCACTGTATGAACCTGTGGCCTAAGATAAAAAATATATTTTAATGAAAACAGTTCCACACTTTTGTTATCTATGCAACCCACATCAATTGAGTGAAATAAAATTTTCGGCTGCCGACAGCCAGATATCAACCGATTGAGTGTGTATGGGGTAAGGAGGGGGAATCCACTCACTGGGTAATGGCACTCCCCTCTGTAACTTTGTCACGTTGCCTGAAATGTGACGGGAGGAGGGGTCTAACAGCTATGCAAACAAACAGTCAGCTCGCGTCATGCGACCGTGAAGTGCGTTTTTTCGTTTGCGGCCGCACTAATCCAATTTTTGATTAGGTGTTTTATCGGTTAGTCCAAAACTTCAATGCTTATTCAATCATTAATTTTACTTTCCTGGCAATAGAACTATTCTATTTTGTGATAATGCAATCAATTTTCAACAATTGTGTATATTTTTTTATTTATTTTTTTATCAGAAAATATTTTATTTGATTTCAAATTAATTACGTTATATCGGTTATATCGCTCATCTGAGCGCCATTACCCCTTGGTGACTCGAATTTTTATTTTTGTAGATATGCCAAGATAAACCTTGGATAAACTTGGATAAACTTTGGATAAACTTCTAGAACTGCGTTCTAGAGGTTTATCCAAAAGTAAAGCCGCAAAACAATATAACATTTACTACTTCGAAAAATATTAACGACCCAATACTAGATCGCAAGCCGTTTTCACGCAAGAAACTGAAATTGCTGAACAAGTTGAGTTGCTGGGTTCCTTATACAATGGACTAAATGTCGCAGATTTGCATTAATTTGTTTTTCAATATGCTGAGCTCAACAATATCAAAAACAATTTTTATCAAAGCAGCAAAACAGCTGGTTTGGATTGGGTACACGCCTTTATAAGACGCAATCCTTCAGTTTCTATACGCAAAGCTGGAGCGACAAGCTTAAATAGAATTGCTGCTTTCAACAAAGAAGAAATAACACATTTCTACGAAAATTACGAAAAACATACATTCACAATACTTACGAAACTGGTATCATCACGGTGACAGTCCCAGGAAAAGTGCTCGCTGAAAAAGGACAAAGAAGAGTCGGATCTGTTATAAGCGGCCAACGAAAAAGTAACGTAACAGTTTTGTGTGCAATGAGTGCAGCCGGAAACTTCATACCGCCCCAGTTTATTTTTGCCGAACAGAGATTGACGCCTTCATTAGAAAAAGATGGACCAGCTGGTGCATTATATACCCACTATAAAAATGTCTGAATAATCGAAGACTTATTTGTCACTTGGCTCAAACATTTCGCAGCATTTGCAAAGCCTATCTAAGAATCACCTGTGTTGTTAATTCTGGACAATAACAGCAGTCGCATTTCCCTCCAAACTTTGAATTTTTGCAAGGAAATAACATCGCAATGCTTTCCATAACCCCACACAGTTCTCACAGAACACAACCGCTGAATTTGTCTTTTTATGGGCCACTGAAAGCTGCTCATAGGCATGAATGCAAGAGGCACATGAGAACACATTTAATGTTTGAAATAACTCCATACGACGTTGCAGCATACGTCAGAGTGGGCCAAGTTGGACACTTTTAAAGGAAAACTCCTGTTTTCAAACTAGATAGATAAAAACTGATGACTGTGTCTGGCAGTCAAAGTTTATGACAAACTGAATGGTGATCACCATATATTGATATCTATCATCGTTTCTGAGTTACAGCATGTTTTTCTATCATGTGCATTTTCGGAATGTGGCTGTAAGTTTTTTCTATCGAAAATTTCTTGTTTACATGAAAACATTACCAAAACAGTTTTTTTTTGTAGAATTCAGTGATGTAAAAAACTTATTTTTTCAAATGAAATATGAAAAGTTATTGATGAAAAACTATTTTTTTCAATGAGACACCATTGTCATTCGGCTCTGCCGAACTCTAAAAACCTGACTCAGTCCCCAATGGGGCAAGCACAAAGTATATGCTCTGCTGTTTCATCATTTTCCAAACACAAGCGACAAACACTGTCTTCCGACAGTCCGAGTCTCTGCATATGATGATTAAAGTGACAGTGACCTGTAAGAAGACCTGTTGGACATCGTAGTTCGTCCCTACTGTAGTCCAACAACAGTTTGGTATCAAGCTTCGAAGGGTGAATGAACGCCTTGGAGTGAGCCAATCCTGGAAGATTTTGCCAGAGGTCCATAAATCTTCTTGCCATCTAGGTGTTCAATCTTTGTTTGGCAAAGCCTAAAACGATGCCAATGACGGGTTCTGGTCCGATGAAGCTGCTTGCAGCACCCTCTTTTGCAAAGGATTCAGCAGCCTCATTGCCATCCAGGTCAGTATGGCCAGGAATCCAGACCAAAGACAATCCGTTAAGTGTTCCTATAGAGGACAGTCGTTTTTGGCAATTTGCTACCAATTTAGACATTTCTCGGTAGGATCCAAGAGCTTCCAACTCCCAAGGTACAAAAAAATAGTCTGTTGCACTCTGCATTAAATTGATTTGGCAATTTAATGCAATGTTGCACTCTGCATTAAATTAATTTGGCAATTGGCACAAGTCTAGATGCATTCCTTCCAGCCTCTCTCTCCAGAAAATTGTGGAGAGGAGGTAGATCTATACTGATGGCATCACTGATGGCCAGACAAGCCAGTCTCTGTAAGCCAGAGAGCTACGCCTGGGCCTTTTTCTGTAAAGCCTTCGGCCACCAGGTAATTGCACCATAAGTGATCATTGGTCTGACAATCATCACATAAATCCAATGAATTTGTTTGGGACCTAAATCCCAAGTTTTACCACAAATCCTTCGACATGTTCATAGGGAAAGTCTGGCTTCGCGTAAAGTTTTTCTCAGTGATTTGTAGTTTTGACTTATGCATGTCATCATGAACATGTAAAATGACCATAGTTAAAGACGTGTACCTGGACGGTCTTAAAATAATTGTCACACATACATCGGTTTCCCAGGCCCCAGTCGAAACGAAATATAAAATACTCGATTGTCTAGTATAAGTTCAATGAATTCAAGAAAGGATCACAAAATCTCCTAAAAAAAAAATTCCGAGTTTAAAATTCAAATTCAATTAAATTTGTTGAATTGAACCAAATGATAGTCATCACTGAATTAAGATTTCCATCTTGAAAGTTTTTGTTATATTCAGATTCCAAATTCAAAATTTTAATGAATTCAAAATTTGTTCTTGAAATTTTTTTCACAAAATTTGTGGTGACAGTAGCAAGTATTTAGTACCACATAGCAACCGAGATTTTATCAAAAGAAAAACTTTACAAGTATTGAAAGTGATATGATTTCTCTTCTGAATAAAGAATTTTTTATTTTCGACCAGTATCAAGAAACCAAAGTTGGTATAGTTGTGATAGCATCAAAAAGTTAGCATTCACTCAAAAAAATCAATCAGAACAAAATATAGAAATGCCGATGTGGGTTGCAGTCAGAATGTGTACAAGAAGCATGCATGTAGTAAGTAATATATCATACCGTATTCAAAATTCTTCAAATATCATGTCCACTGTCTCCGCACATATTCAGTAAAGATGCCAAGTTTTCTAACCGTTTTCTCATTAATAGATTTGTTCTTTTAGAAACCATGCTCAATATTTCTGCTTTTGGTTTTCCAGTTTTTTTCAAACAATCTTCATTTGTCATTGTGATTATATTTTCGAATCCAAAATCTCCACATATCTGAAAAATACATCATTTCATATCAGTTTACACCAATACCTATTGTAAGATATATCAATAGTATAAATTCTGCAAGTATTCCCAAAAACTGTTCATATTTATTTTGTGTATATATTTGAATAAATGAGAAATTATGTTCCTCCTTTTCAATTTCTTTGGGGGAAGGATCATTTGTTCCTCTATGCATTAGACAAGTATATATTTAGAAGGTTTGCTAAGAGTTGATGATACTGTGGCATACATCCGGGCATGAGGTCGAGCAAGAGAATTTCAATTTCAATTTGAGTATTAAAAAGGGTAATTCATCAGTTGGACTGATGTCTAGGGAAACGTACCTTAAATAAAATAGTCTGAAAATTGGACAATATTCCATTTTATCAATTAATTCATTTCATGGATAATATTTCATTGTATTAATATACGAATGATTGTACTGATATGTTCAGAAAAATCATTTATAAATATTACTGGAGTTTTTTCCCAACACCAGTTCCTTTTGAAGATGATCACTTGGTGATCGAAACATGTGTCAAGGTGTTAAAATAATGGTTTGGTGTTGGGAAAAAACTCCAGTAATATTCATTACTACACCAAAGGTTCCAAACAGTGCATCGTAAGTCAATCAATTATACTTACATAATATCCTCTTAAAACAGTAGCGTCAATGGAATGGGTATTTTCGAAATCAACTTCAGTTTCAATTTTTATATTAATCTTGAATGTCTCTGGGACTGGTTGTAGTAAAGCAGAAAATAGGCTGAAAATAATTTATTAAATAAAAAATTCAATGGAACTAGGGCTTTACTTACTCTTGCAAAAAATCAATGACTACTGCAATATTAGAAAATCTCAATAACTTCTCTTCGGATGGCCAGGAAACATCAATTTCTCCAGAAAAATGTCTGTATGCTCCTAGATACCCAAAATGTGGAATATTGCTCGTTATGTACAAATTAAATTCTTCTGGTTTTTTGAGAGGAGCATTAAGTATTAATATTTGTTCCCTATTATACATAATGACCTTATGTGGCAAAATTTCTACGGATGTATGTTTCTTCCAATAATTCAGTACTTTTGATGCAATATCATTTCTGCCATCCTTTTTGGTAAGGTCCATAATTTCAATAATCGACTTTTTTATTGGATGTCCCTTTTTTGAGTTAGGCGGTTCAATCAACCAATGTCCACATTTGTATTCTTTCTTCCCATTAAAATGTTCTGCCGATATATGATCCATATTCACAAACGCAACATCATTGCCTGTATAATGTTTAAAGTAGGGACCAATGAAAATTTTATCAACATAACTTGGGTCAAAATATATACCAAATTCAACATGATCATATCCCCTTTTCAAAGTACCAATAGTTCCTTTCACAGTGCATTTGTTATTTTCAGCAATTTCTCCTATCCTTTTCAAATCTGTATAGTTTATTGAATAGCCTACACTAACCAAGTAAAGGTACATGAAGTCGGAATTCAGGTGAATCATACGCCACTTACAAAGAGGGTTGATTTTGGGTAAAGCAGCCCACATATATAACTTATCCTTACCATCCGACATCCCTCCCAAATGCCCTGTCGATTCTTCAACTAGTTCTTGGAGCTGGTAATTTTTTTTGAAAATATTCAGAAGTTGATAATTACCATTTATGTTCCTATGTATGAAAATTTCATCTTTTGGATTATCAATTTTTTTTTCCTCTTCCATTCCTCTACTAGAAATATTTCTAGTGCAAACACCACATATTTCGTAATATTTTTTGGTCTCTTGTAAAATGAACAAAAAGTTATCTGGTTGATAACACTCAGGAAGTCTTCCATTCAAAATCCATGAAATCACATCCTCGGTTCGTTCATCTGTTGTTTGTTCAGCTGCAGTTTTTTTCAATGTTTTAATATTAACATAATTTTTCGGAGCTCTCTTGTTACTGTTGCCAATGTAGAGACTTTTCGGTCGATTCATCATACTCCAGATATTTATTTTGCCAGTTGTAAAACTTTCAATGAGAACTTTCCATGGCAACAATCGTGCAGATCCAGATTTAACAGTTTTTGGTCCTATTTTTGTCAATAACCCTAAACGGTTTCTATCAGCAATAATTTCACCATTGAATACTGACTTCACATTTACAATTCCTGATGAAACTAAAGACAACTTTCTGCATTGAATAACTCCATTTTCATTAAAGGGGGCCAATGATGTAGATGTAATAGTGTTATCCTCTCTGCATTCTCTAAGCAGCTGTTTACGTTTTCTTGCGATCTTATCAACCAATACATTTCGCATACGTTGCTCTATAGAAATTCTGTTCAAAATAGCCTCCTCAAGCATTTTCAGATCTTCAATAGCATATTGAATTTTTGTCTTACATACATCAAACTTTTTGGCATTGGAACATAATTCATTATTCTGTTCATTCAAACTATTAGTTTTAGTTTTTGGGCACTTCCATGGTAATGCTCTTGTCCTTGCACACCCATCTAATTCTTCCTTACGGGGCATTTTTTCCTTATTATTCTTATCATACTCTTTTTTTCTTTTATTTCTCACTGGCTTCTTGGAGCCAGATAAAGTATTTTTTGATTCTACATGAGAATTAATACTACCCCTTATGTTATGAGAACAGTCATTGGGGCTGAAATTTTTCATCTCGTTGGAAATTTTGGATACTTTTTTAATTTTTCTCTCTGCATGATTAGGTCCTATTTCACATTTTTTCCTTCTATTACCTCTACATTTTTTCAAATGTTGTTTTGCAGTAACTGCAGATACTTCTTTTACTGACCCAATTTTTTTTTGTTCTTTGTCATTTATTTCTTCAGTGAATTTTTCGAAAATTTTCAAGTGATCATCACTCCCGTCTTTCGAAAGTATATCATCCTTCATAGACATATTTGGAATGGAAAGGGAAGTTCCTTGACAGTAACAATCGTACTGATTATGAGTTAAACAATATGGTATTATCTGAGATAAATTCAGTTTTGGCAAACTCACTGTACATTTTTCTGAAAAGTTACTTCCCGGTAGTTGAGTAAAGAAAATGTCAGAATCACTATTTACTTTATCAGAATATATAACAGGAGTCTTTGTATTTCTTCTCAATTTACTTCTTCTACCTGAGCCAACAACTATTGTTTCATTTTTCATTTTAATAACAGTTTGAGTAAATTGTCGCTCTACTCTAGCCAACTTTTTTTTCGCTATATTTTCAATACAATTCAGAGTATCGGGTGATAATAATGTACCAGCTGGAGATGTGAGAGCATTTTCATTCATAAAATCGTTTTCTTTTGGACAAGTACAATTAAACATACACTGAACCAATTGACAATGATGAATGAATATATTTCCACCATTCAAACTTCCACATACACACCCCATATGACAGTGAGGCTTTTCACATTTTCTTTCTGATTGGTTTTCTTCTAGCTCAACATTCACTACTTTACAGTTGAGTCTCAATAACTCGTTTTCACCTTTGGATTTCTTTATACGTGGCTTTTTTGAAATACTCACATTACTGTCAATAATAGGTGTTAATTTTTCAATCAACCTCCCTTCATTCTTTGTTCGAGATTCATCATCCTTTATAAGTGACGGAGCAATTTCCCTAATTTCAACATATCTAATCAAGTCATCGATAACAGTTGCAACAGTATCTCTGGAACTTTCATTCTCATTGGCAGAACAGCTATCTGCAAGACACACAGAGGTTGACTTTTGTTTTCTAACGATATTTTTTTCTTGTTCGTTGTGGTATTTCAATTCATTGTCATTTTTCCCCTCCATCAAATTTCTACATTCAATTTTTGCAATGCATTCATCATTCAACCTACTCTTTACCCTCAATTTTTCATTATTGAAAAGTACGAAACTTTGATTATATAATTGTTCTTTTTTCAATGTGACAGACTTCTCTTTCTTCGCTGACGAATTAGTCTTTTTCAACTTTTCTGGTTTTTTCAGTTCTCGCATTTTTTCTTTCTCCAAAAGTTTTCTTTTTTGGGCAACAGTTTTGGCTTTTAGTGATCTGAGTTTTCTAGGTTTTTCATCAGAAATTGTTCTAAGTTTACAAACCTGCTTTAATGGAAGAGGACCATCATCTAGGAAATTTTCTTTCAATCCTTCTTCAACATCATATCCATGAACCTTATAACTTATGTTCAATTTGAAATTTTCTATCAAAAACTCATCTAAAGTGTCACTAACAAATGGAGATTTATTCTCAAGTACGCTATTTTCATTTTGGAATGAAAGTTGAGAACTGTCAATAAATGGCGCAATTTTGGTGTCATCTTTTCTCTTTACATGTGAACGTACCTTAGAATTTTCCAACTTTGTTTTCAATTTGTCATCATTCAGAGTGAACGAAGATTCCTCTTTATACGTGAGTTTTCCAATTTGATCAAAAACAACGAGCTGATCGTCCTCTATATTGTTGCTACTAGGAATTGCATTTTTGTCTTCTAGCTTGTTGATGATTGCATCATTGTCTTTTTTGTCAAACTTCACACCACCTTGAATATCTGATATAATAAATCCCAACTCGTTAGTTTGTGTAAAGAGATGATTTTCTTTCATCAACTCTCTTGAACTATTAACTCTTTCATTGCCGGATTTCTCCATATCGTTTAATAGCTTCTTATTGTACTCAGAACAGTTAACAATTTTTGTTTGTAGTTGTATAAATGGTCCTTTTCTTCTTGCTCTGAGAGAACTTATTTGGAGCTTCAACTTATTTCGAATATTTTCTACATTTTCTAAACAAGCAGTTTCGTCTCCAATCAAAATTTCATCAGTGAGTAAAGAAACAGGAGATTTTTTATCACTGTTATGCTCATCAATTTCATCATTTCTTGAAATGATTGCGGTTTGTTTCGTGCATTTTTTTAATTTTGAGTTGACATCTTCAATTATTTGAGGTTCAATTTGTTTATTTGGTTTTATCTCAGATAGCTCAAAAAGATGTACCTGTTTCTCGTTTTCAGTTTCGAAAAAATCTGGTTCTTGACAAAGTAATTCGATACATTTCAGAGGATATGTCTCATTATATTCAATTTTCCCAGAATTACTTTCAAAATAGTTTGTTTTTCCTGATGGTGTTTTGGAACCAATAAATGTTTTTTCCCGACAAAAACTATTTCGAGGATACGTTTCTATATAAGGTAAATCATCGGAAGATTCCTCTTGGAAATCATCAATTTCATTATTAATTACTTCTATTACTTTAACTTCCATTATTTCAAAATTTTCATTCGTTTCTTGGGTTTGTGATGGAGATCTATCACGATATTCGCACTGAATGTTCTCTGTATCTATCATTTCCTTGATTATGGAATGTTTCGTAATGTGCGATTCCCCCTCTTCATCGTCAGAAAATAATTCAGCATCTATTGGAAGTAAAAGAGGTTTATTTCCTCTTTCAATATCTACTCCAGATTTAAATTTTTGACGCTCTTCCAAAAAATCATCAATTGGCCATTCGGTATTCTTTAATTCTTGAATTGTATCTTTCAATGGCATATTTCTAAAATAAAACAAATTCTAATGAATATTTTCTTAATCTGAATTTGTTAGATTCCCCAAAGGTGGCAAACAATTTCATTTCTACCTAACTTTGTTGACTCTTTCATTATCGTAAGTTGACAAATATACCTGACACATAAGAACAGATCTGTTTTCAAAAACGATATTTAACTAAGTGGCATCTTTCCGTATAATTTTATCATACCACTAGATGAAAACAGAGCTCAAAAATAACACCAGACAACGCTGTTTCAACCTACCATACGTATTTTCAGTAGTGCTAGACTAAACGACAAATGCATTGTTGAACTCCTTTGTTTTAAGAGGACAATCTTGCCATGTATGAACTCAAGAAATTTGTTAGATTCCCCAAAGGTGGCAAACAATTTCATTTCTACCTAACTTTGTTGACTCTTTCATTATCGTAAGTTGACAAATATACCTAACAGATAAGAACAGATCTGTTTTCAAAAACGATATTTAACTCTGTGGCATCTTTCCGTATAATTTTATCATACCACTAGATGAAACCAGAGCTCAAAAATAACACCAGATAACGCTGTTTCAACCTACCATACGTATTTTCAGTAGTACTAGACTAAACGACGAATGCATTGTTAAACTCCTTTTTTTTTAAGAGGACAATCTTGCCATGTATGAACTCAAGAAACTCAAACTGTATCAGGTGAAAAGGGTTCCTCACGAATTATGGATTATATTTTGTAAATTTTTCTTTACGTCAGTGGAGCCCAAAAATGCATTGTAGCTCAACTTAGCACCACGGATGAAATTAATTTCAAATATCTACATAGGAATACATGTAGATGATACTTTGGGGAAACCTCGCTCTTTCTGTATATTGCAGTGGTCACCGAATGGTCGGTATTACCATTAACAACGTGGAATTTTCGTTTGGAAAACTAGGAAGCACAATACCACATAAGAGCCTGAGGAGCCTCAGTTCTCGCTTTGGAGTAGGTAGACTGGGACACTTGCGAGGATCTGTAACGAGACGGAAATGGGCAAATTCAAACCTTGGCGTCAAATCACAAAACCTTTAAAGTTTGCCACTATCTGAAGAATAGGAAAATTTGTGACATCGGTATAGCGATACTTTCCCTTTTCAGTTCTTGAAAATGTCTTCGAAATGGAATCCAAAACGTCAAACAACTCAAAACTTCAGACTCGATCCAACCTGAATTTCAGGCAGAGATTGCTAACCGCAGAAACATATCCGAACGTGCGCGCGCGTACACATGCAAACACACTCTTGTTGTTCTTGCGGCCTCTTGAAACTAACGTCTGAATTAGTGTTACTCGCCCTACAGATGATATCTGTTCAAAATCTGTTTTTCCGTTAACCAGCTGTCGCACCCCTACGAACTACAATCCTCAGAAGTCGAAACTTGTGAGAGGTAAGGATTAACGAGGTCTTACCTTTTAACGTGTGATTCCTAACTCGGGTTGGACGATAGCAAGTGAAAATCGATCGTTCAGACTAGGGTTTGAACCACCGACCAACACGGCAATCAATTCGAGTGAGTGAACAAAGCACCCACGTCAAACCGCCTGGCTACCGACCGAACTGATTCGAACCACTTGTATTTGAGAGTCAAGATGTGGATTTGCTGGTTTATCTTCGTTAGGTGATAGCCGATCCAGATATTCAATGGATTTTTAGCTTCTCTGATATAGGATTTGAAACATTCACAAGAAATCTGGTAGGCGCATTTCTTGAAGTCACTGTTTGTTGGTGTTTTGGTATTCGTAAGGTTATTGCAGATTATATATCAAGACCTGAAGCTGGTTCTAAGGTTGAATTCAAATACAATTCTTCTGTTCTTCTCTGATAGTCGCTTTATATAAGAAAGCTAAATCACTCATTGCGACGGCAACGACCACAAAATAACAGGCCCCTAATTTGTTTCGTACATACTTGCTATCATTCTGTTGCTTAATTTCGTGTATATTAAAATATCTCTTCATACCTTTGCAGATTATATATCACATCCTGAAGCTGGTTCTGATTCGTTATTTTTTTCATCATTTTCTGAAGTGTCTCAGATCTTCAACTTGTAGAAATATGTGTTCTCGACAAAGATAGCGCTCTCTGTTTCTGTAGATAGAAGAAGTAGACGGCATTTGATGTTGGTTGTCATATGAAATATGGAGGTGTGCTGCCATCAGTCGTGCACAGTGCATCGAAGGGTTATCAGTTGTTAAATGGAAGATGGCGGTCTCTGTTTTAGAAAAATAGTAACAAAAACTGAGATTGATCTGAGTCTCAACAACTATCCATAGTATATTTTTACTCTGAAATAGAAAATAGAAATAAACAAACAAGAGATAATTTTATTATTTTATGTAAAATTTTACAAAATATTCAATTGCATCAATACAATGAATATCCCATGTTACTTATGAATTAAAACAGTTTCCTGACTAAGAGCATCGATCCCATGACGCCTTTATCGTCTTTCACTTCAGATATCCATGATAGAACAATGATCCCAAAATAAGGTTTCTTACGATCCAGGTATCAAACTTCTTTCATCATCGAATCCATATAAAACAATTTTTGTTTGAGTGATAGTATACCTACAGCTGATACTTCTCAGCTCGAATGAGGTTTTCGGTAACAACATTCTTCACAAAACTCTCTAAACCATCTTTATAATCTTGTAATGTTTATTCTCCTATGGTTTTTTTCACACGTTTTGCCTTCTTGGTTATACCAGTATGATTCATTACTTCTTCATTTCCGTCAGATTCGTATTCGTCCGTTTCAAGTTCTTTCCTCAGAGTTCATTTTGTTCATCAGTTTGTGACTTCTTCCATAATGACACCATTATTTTCATCTTGCATCATTTCAAGCAGTTTCTATTGACTTGAGATATATCATAACTATTGTTTTCAGGATAATCCGTCGTATCGCTTTAGGATCTCTGTCAGGATTTCTTATACTTAACTGTCGGTATCTGTATACGCCATAGAACAATCATCTCCAAATTCTGTTTTCATGTATTGATATTGAAAGTCATAAATAGTTGTTTTCGCCAGATCCAGAAATCGCCATCCCAACATATACAGGGTATTCCAAATTGAGTCAGCACCATTGCCAACTCCGTTAATATTGATGCTACAAATTCGGTTGAATAGGCAAACTAGTAGCATTTCCAATGGCCTTTTCGATGCCAAAAACAAAAAAAAATTGACACAAGCATTTTCAAAATATTTCATATTATTGTAACTGTCAACTACTGTTCGAATGATATGTCAGAATCCTACTTGGTTTGTCAGAAAAGTAGCGTAAGAGCACTACAATACTACAGAAATTCGTTTCCCGATCGTGAATTACCTAATAGGCGTTTTTTTGCTGTGCTTCATCGTCGATTCAGAAACAAGGAAAAAATGTTTGAGAAGAACTAAAAAACGGTTTGTCATATCTGAAGATACTTTGAGCTAAATCCAAATCATTCCATCAGAGATTTATCTAGAGAAATAGCTGTTCCATCGTCTGTTATTCAACGAATTCTGAAGAAACATAAGATTTTTTCTTATAAGTAAGACCAGTACAAACACCAGAACATGGTGACCCTGAGATACGATTGTGGTGTTGTCGGTGGTTTATGAATAAATGCAGACAATATCCAAACTTACCTATATTAAAATATTATATGGAGCGATTAGGCTAATCTTTCAAATTGTGGGATGTATAGTAGAAAGAATTTTCATTGTTGGAGTAAACATAATCCATTTCTAGTCCATCCCCACATATTCATAATGAAACTCTTTCAGTCAGCTTTCATTGAAAATAAGACGGTTGAATAGATCAACTTTTTGGACTTATTCTTGAATCGCTCGGCATACACCCATACGAAACTATATTTTTTGAAAGTACTTTCTTGACGGAATTCGAATATGGAAAGTAAAAGCTTTAGACCACACGACTGAAAAAAACTTCTTCAGCTCCATCTTTAGGGACCTTTTTAAACGTTTAAAATTGTACTTCGACTGAACTATGAAGGAAAACAGCACCAGAAATAATGTATTATAATGATTCATTAGTTTATAGATAGCCTTTACTGAACAAAACTGAAAGAAACTTTCAACTATCACTTTTTCAATATGTCACAAGTGCGCTTTTCATATGATAAACAATACTATATTGGCGGACAAAAAAGCGAGTGTGTTTTAGACCACTACTTTCGCGACTGGAGAAATATTGATCGAAAATTCTTATCCCAGGAAACTTCTCAATATAATAATTTTCAATACTGGTAGTAATAGCCAAGTAATAGCAATAGTGGTAGCCAAGCGGTTCGGCGTGGGTGCTTTGTTCACTCACTCGAATTGACTGCCGTGTTGGTCGGTGGTTCAAGCCCTAGTCTGAACGATCGATCTTCACTTGCTATCGTCCAACCCGTGTTAGGAATCACACGTTAAAAGGTAAGACCTCGTTAATCCTTAGCTCGCACAAGTTTCAACTTCTGAGGGTTGTTCTGTTGAATAAGAATGCGTATTGAACTCATGAACTATAATTGTACTTTACAACAATACTCAACGGTGAAAAAGATTATTGACATAATTATAAAAAATATGACATAAGTCAATTTCAAAAAAGGAATGCCATGTTGCCTGACTTCGAGCATGAGTCGATAGCTACAGTTCCACACTCCCCCTGACGAATGTCTCGAAGATTTTTTCGGAGCTGTTGAATTAATCCCATCTGTCGAATTAATTGATGATGACGCGGATTTGCCAGTGGTTTAGTTAAGACATCAGCAGTCATTTTTTCGGTACATAAATAGTGCAAGAAAATGTCTCCTCTCTCGACAACTTCACGAATAAAATGTTGTTTAATATCCAAGTGTTTTGATTTAGAGCTCACCATTGGATCAGTAACGATTTTTTCAGCTGCTTGATTATCGTAGAATAATGCAACCTTATCCTGAGTTTTTCCCATGTCTTCAATTAGACGTTTCAAGTGAATAGCCTCCT